ACCGGAAATTCAAGCTCATGCTCTTGCAGCTGATCGCCAGTCTGGTCGTTCGAGAGGCCCAAGTAGGTAGTCGGCGACGAGGAGGTGATGACCCGACCGCCGGAGGCAGCTACAGTCGGTGGAAGTAGCAGTCGAGGAGCCAGGCCACAGACCATCGAGCCAGGAAGTTGACGTCCAAGTGAACTGCCGTCTGAATAGCAAGATGGTCGAGGAAACGAGCGTGTGTATGGATCAGACTTGCGTGGTGAATGCTGAAAACGAGGTACCGCTCGAGTGATCGGAGTTGTCGGTGCCGTCGCAACCATATCGACCAAGGCTGGTGGTGAATTCGAGGAGGCTATGGGCAGTCTTCCAGTTGAATATTCGTCAAGGAGGGCAAATCCGAGACCCGAAGACGCCTCAGAAGTTGGTAGACTACCGACTGGCAGGCTGTTGCTTGGATAGACACTGGCGGGAGAGGGTCCAGTAAAGAGTACCTCTGTTATCACAGAGGAGGAAGATGAAGAGGTCTCGTTGCCGGAGCACTCAGGCGGTGGCTCAGCCAGACTTCGAGAGACTAATGACATAAATTCATCATAAGAACAATGTAGAGTTTATAGAATAACAAAAAAAAGAGCCAAATGTCAAAAAAGAACGATTATTTCCCATCTCTAACCGCCGTTCCGACCATATGAACGGCTAGAAATGTTAATCTTCCTGGATTACAATTTTACAGATGCCTACAATGTGAAAATTTGCCGCTTAATGGATAAGTAAGACAAGATAGGGAGAACAGTAAGCCAAAGTCATTTCGTATAGCATTCATTTTCATCGTTGCTATTCGGTCTATATGAGAATAAAATAACAAAAATGACAAAGGAACAAATACAGAATAAATAAAAATGGGGAAAAATAATAGAAAATTTTTTATCGATCGTGTCAGTTGTACCTTGTCACTTTAATGATACGTTTATATTAACTTATATTTATGTGTATCATGCAGTATTTATATTTTTATATTTATATCAAAGAAGTTTATGCTACAAGGCACAAGATAGTGTTTGTGACGATTGTGCAGGAGCTCATCAATAAAAACCATAAACAAATTTTAGGCAGAGATATAAGATGAAGCCTGTATATTTATGTCCATTAAGGTAAAAGACTTAAAAAATAAAGGTTATGGGATACAGGTATACAAATTTTAATGAAATATTACTCCTAAAAAGTAGGCTGTGCACGAAAGCCTAGTAGCCTAGAGGTCCATTTAAAGTACGACAAATAAAGGTACACACATAAAATACCTTTATAGAGCGGCATGGAGATTAACTCTGAATGAATTTGGATTCATTAACATATAAAAAAAGAAGTCTCATCATGAGCTAATCAGTATCAAACCAAATTCAAGCAATTTGCATACGGAGAACAATAATGGTAAACACATGTCCGTGCATAGGCGCTCTAAACATTTCTCATTAATATGACCATTTGCCAGTTTAAACCTTTCCTTGTCTTCACATTATTCAAACTCTGAAGCCCAATGATGCAGAAGATGTCTAGTAAAGTCGAAGCAAGTTTTAATCTTAAGGTGAATAGCCCAGTTTCGAGTCCGGTAACCGTGACATCAACTGATTTTAACTACGACCATTTTCAGTGATCTGATGTATTGTGAGATTTATCCCACCTCAGGCTGGAGACAAATTACCCGATTTGGCCTGCCACAAACAATGCAGACTACCTTGAATGAATCGCATATGCTTATTATGTTGAACTAGACAGGTGATATCTGTGAGGCGAAATTAAATTAGAGGAATTCTCGGCTGTCCGAACATCCAAGGCAGATTTGAGTTTCAAACAAAAAGAGGCAAGAAGACAACGTAAACGAGAAAATTTCATTTAAATTCATCATTTATGTGAAATAGCCAAAAGCCTCCTAACAGTAGTTATGAAGATCTTGACAAGAGTATGGGTAGAAGCATGATGTGTTATACTAACAGTAAATACATGAGATGTGCTACCAATATTTTGTCAAAGATGATGAAGGACTATTAGTTGAATTTTCACAGATTGATATGAGAATACCTCACGTTTCTGTTAAATTTCACTTAGCCTTGCTTCTCAAAATATATTCTAATCCCGGATGGACTGCAGTTTCGACCTCACCCAGGAAATGTAAAAGGAAGGTAAGGTCTATTCATATCATTGTGGAGAGATTCAACTACCAGCGTCCTTGATCATCTTAAGCGAAATAGGGTGAATACATTCCATATATTTAATTTACTGGAAGTCTCGAATCTCCACTCACAAACGGAAAAAATAACTAATATTAACCAAGGAATCTCACAGAACGCACCTGAAAAAGCCATATGTGGAGGAGAGCGAGAAGGCGAAATGGAGGAGAGTAAGTGAAATATGGTCTTCCGACGAGAATGCGTCACTTCGCCGGCTTCTCGGTCAAACTTGGTTGCGTTTGTCAAGTTCGTCAGGGCTGCTAGGACTTCATCTGCCTCAGAGTCATCCCGATCAGCCTCGGTCTCTACCTCAGACTCGGCACAGCCTCCTTGACTGG